CAATTCTCAAATGGGGAAGACAGTTCGGAGGGGTCGCGGTCAGATGAAGGAAGTGAGAAAACATCTCGTCGTTCTGATCCCATGCCATGGCGACTCATGGCGGGCGGACTGGCGCTGGTCGCAAAAGAGTATAAAGGTTTGCTTCAAACTCTAGGTAGCTGTATAGTAACCGGGGAAAGAAGCACAGAATATTTATTTATAGAAGTCCGCACAGCGGAGATTTCTGCAACATGCAGGCTGTTGCGGGCGCTTGGAGATGGAGCGAGGGAGACGAAAGCAAGGGGCCAGGTAAGTGGGGTGGATGGAATCTGGGTTAACTTAGCCAGCGGTTAGTTAGCGCAATGCAGAAGAGGGGATAGGCAGGAGAAGGAGATATAAGCTACGTTTTCAGAGCGTATCAACACAAAAGCGGGGATATATATGCGAGTTTGTCCGGAACAGGAGATGAGAAAATAGTCAGAGAAGATGAAGAGAAAATGAATCGAGGTGAGGTTGAAGCAGTTAACGAGGAGGAGGAGGCTGATAGTGTGCATGTATGGCTGTAATGATGGTATGGCGAATACGACAGGCTGAGACTGCCAACATGCCAGGCCCCGCCATATCTATCTAGTTGGGCACCTGGAAGCGCCAATGACGTCTCCATACCCAGCCAGAGAGGAACCGTACTGGTTGCCACAGGTGGCTGAGACTGCATCTTGGGCCGGGAGTTGGGCGTCAATATCTGAACGGTGTGGAATATCGAGGCCCTGTGTGGAGGATCAAGAAGGATATACGAAGACGAGATCACTGCAAGCGTTCCCTCCAGGTCCAAACTCTGGACAATGGTATTCCCCAGACGGCAGAGTAACCTTAACCGTTCCGTGGATGGTCCGGACAGGTGCCTGAGTGTACCGTTGTATTGTCCCGACCGTACCTGACCGTACCTGACAGTACCTGACCGTACATGATTCCAGCAGCCAATCACGTGCTGCCATTGCTGCCTCGACGACTCAGGTAAGCGCCGGGACAAAAAAGTTGCATGTCGGATGGATGAGTGGGATAGCCAGCAGACACAGCGCTTGTCATGGCGAACCGATTGCTGGCCATCATTGGCCTGTCTGAGGCCCAAGACATTTTGCAGTGGAGTCTGCAGCGGGATCACAGATAACAGTCCCGCAGATTGATGGGGTGCATGGTGAGAAGTAAGACTGCCATTCAAGAAAAGTCTGATGGCTATCCTTGTATATATTTACCCTGCGCGACACGCCTCTGGGCATTGGACGGCTTTGTGGGACATTTGGAGAAAATTCTCCATGAATTGGAAATGATGCAGAAGCAACTGACCATGCTGGAATCGAACAAGAACTCGCGTAAGGGGCCTCAACAGGACCAGGGCCCAGTGTGGTCATGAAAGCTGTTCTCTGTTGAAAAGGTCACTAGCAAATAAGAACGGCTAATTTGACAACACACCAGCTGCAGAATGCTTGGACGATGACCGGGCGGCAAGAGCTAAGTGCTGTTTCGCACGCTTCTTCCCGCCACGTTGGTAAATGTCACGGGAGCATAGAAATGGACAAATTTTGCTTTGCCACTGCCTCCATAGCTGCCGGTTCTACCACCCAGAACTACAATTCGTGAAGAGCTTACTCCGTACAGGATGAAAAATTAACAGTCAGAGGTTCAGCCAATCATGCCGAGATCTCCGAGCTTTCATGCGCGACTGACAGAAATGTTGCTCTAGCCAATGAGACGACGGATGCCGTGTGGTGGCTACGGCTAACCATATTCCACCCCGATCCACTCACACACGAGGAACATTGTCGTCTCAAGGACGAACCCTCGATCATAGCGAGATTGATAAACTGGAAATCCACCAGCTTCGAGCCAGCATTTTACTACGCAGATCAGATACTGGATTTCACCCAACTCTTCCCCCCACCCTTTCCTACCCTACTACAGTCGAATAGGCGGCTGACCATTTTGCCATGTATGTTCAGGAGTACGACGCATTACGTCCCTTGTCCCTATCCCTTCCCAAGCAAAAAAAAAAAATCCCAGCCTGTTCAATAGAGTTGGAACTTCTACCAAAGAGAACGAAATTTCCAACAGGATATTACTCGTCTCATGGAAGTTGCTGAAGATGACGGTGTGTCCTGAGACCCGTCGAAAGAAACGACATAGACGCATCAGCGCTTCCTTAGGATAGTGATTTATTATAAGGAGATTAATGATAAGGAGAACGACTCATCCTGTGTTTCCGAGGCTTAATGAGTGTCAGTATTGGCTGCTCCCTCGGGGTGCTAGGGATAACTTGGTAAAATCTTCGGAAGGAATACCTTGAAATAACATTATATTTCTGGTGAATAATTGAAAATTACTATATACTGTATTCCACGCCGCTGCGACTTAGATAGAACGACCAGGCTTGACATTAATATGAGGGAGTGGTATGTACAGTACTAGTGGGGCCGTAGGCCCAGTGGAAAGGAAAACATTTAACACCGAAGGTGAAAAGGTATTTGAACTGTAATGGAATAATAAGGACGAAACTCAACCTGACAAACTCCAACGCTACAAATTAATTCAGAGATTGGATAGCGAAAAACAAATAAACAAGCAATAAAAAAGTGAATATGAATATGGAAATAAGAAATAAAAAGGGGTATAGGGTAGTATGGTAACTAAGTACGTGGGACAGATGAACGGCAATTGAAGAAAGAGATGGGATGAAATTGACACAGCCAGATAAATATGGACCAGATATCAAAAAGCCAAAGGGGAATCAAAAATTGGAAATGAACAGGAGGATAAAAAGCCCATTTTAAAAAAAAAAAAAAAGAAAAAGAAAAAGAAAAATCATAGCCCAAAATTCACCATCTGCAGGCCTTGTTCAATCATAATTTCCATCCAATCCACATCCAACGCATGTCCCTTCCGCATGTATCCTTCCGTCTGTCTCTGGAACACAATCTGCAGTACATGTCTCGTCGTCGTAACGTTTGCGACCAACAGACTCATTCCCCTCAATACCAGAAAGCAAGTCCAGCGCGAGCATTTTCTGCGAGCTGGATGAGGACGCCACGCCCGCCATGAACAGCGGGAAAACGATGAAGCGCAGATCAAAACGCCCTGCGTGTACGATACTCGAGGCAACGTGGAGGATGGCGGTGGTCCGTTGGGAAATTTCGAGCGCGGGGCCACCGCAGGTCTCGATGCTTTGGCTAGACCACATGCTGGTATATGAGTAGATGAGGCTGGCGTGGAAGAGAGTGGTGGCCTGTAGAAATGGAGTGTAAAAAGTTAATTTCACTGTTACCTTTCTAGCTAGGTACATTACGGAGGGGGCATGAAGGGAAGAGTGGGAAAAACGAACATGTTGAAGCATTTCCTTCGACCGACTGGGGAGCAAATCCATTTGTTGTTCCAAGATAGCAAGATTAGAAGTCTCCCATAAATGCCGTAGTGCTTGCTGGATTTCAAATAGGCGCTTTTCCCTATCGGCAAGTATTTGAGGAGGGAATACATGGGAACCATTCGAATTTGCGTTATTAATTAATGCTCCATTAGCATAGGCGCTCTGTGTACGGAATTCAGATGCCAGCAGCCCCAGGCGGGCCGCCAGGACGAATATGTCATGGTTAAGCTGCAGGATGGTGGGAAGGATATCCATCTCTTCCGGATAGATAACGCTTGTCCCATCCTGGCCGAGCGGGTAGAGATGGGATCCTGGAGATGGGATCATGTCGTTTTTCAAGACCGTCGCAATGAATTCTCCCGTTCCTGTACCGCTGAATAACGCATATAAGTCGATGGAACAAACCCACCAGATCATAAAAGGGAATTTTTCCGTCTTAAAAATCTCATTTCGCATTAAGATGATGCGTAACAGTCGTTCGAGATGGTGGGACCAGAGGTTGGACCCTCCTGGTTCAGCTGCAGCTATCTAATATGTGACTTAGAGGTTATTTTCTTAGCAGAAGAGTTAGGGGAGTGACAGATACTTACCTCGTAAATCAGGAGCAAGAAATGGGTGAGGAACACTCCATCCGAGGAGAGATCTTGATGGCTACGCATACTGGTTTGTAAGAAAGGAAGAGTTTGCTGATAGTGTTGTAGAGCAGCAATGCTTTGGCCCTTCCCCTGATGGGACAAGCTTAGAGCAGAAACGGCCATCATGGCGTGGAATAACTATTGGTGGAGAGTCAGTATTTGAGCCCAGGGGCGTCGAAAAAAATAGCCACTTATTAGACAGGGAGGTTACCGGGCGAAAAGTAGCCGCCTCCTGCTCAAAGATATCTGAGCCAGGAGCGTTGCAAACGTCATAGACTGGAGATTCACAGCGAGAAGCTGTTTGCACGAGATGGTTCCAGACCACTCTCCTAAAATGCGAAAGTAGTCTTGTATCTTCCACATACTGTTCCGTGGTATCTATGTATGATTGATCAAATGATTCCACGGGATCCTGAACAGGCACTTCATCAACCAATTCTGCAGAGGACTTGGACCCAGACGTACTCGACCTCGACGGTGACTGCCTCATGTTAGTCCTCCAGTGGCCAGGGGATGAGATTGGAATGGAGTCCTCGAATTTTGAGAGAATGACCACATTCGGGTCACCCGTTTCTGTCAACGAAGAACTATCCCTATTGTGTTTTCTGCCTCTCTTCCTACTACCGGCATTGGTGGTATCGTCCTTACCAGAGCCAGGAGAACTCGACATGGATGTGTTGTCAGTTGTGTCGGAATATTCAGGCAGCGATGAAAAACTCTCTGGGTTCACAATAACATGATAGGTGCCCGGAGAATATGCCTCAGCTTTCATCTCTCGTTCCAAGTCAGATGTTAAACACGCGAATGGGGGTAGCGTATCTCCTCCGATGGACGAGTTTGGGCTACTCGCGGTCAGACTTGGCGATGTTGCTACCAGTAAACGTATTAGCCATGTGAGTGACTGCAAGTGTACCGGGAGGTATAGAAGCAGCCACAGAACGTACGGTCCCAGACTGCATTTCCAGCAGTGGAAACGGCCTGCATACGATGTTTGATTCTGTATGTATCGTCCCGAAACGCTAACCTTGGACTGTAATCGCATTCGTGCCCGAGTCTTGAGCATTGCTAGAGTGTAGTTTCAATAGTTTGTTCCATAGATACTATATCTTCTCATGCTTGGTTGACTTACGCCACAGGTAGGATGGCCCTCATCACATTTTACTGAAAACAACAATCAGCAAACCGCTCACGCTGGTATTTATCACCTAGATGGTTGAGTAACACTGACCTTTGCGACTCTTAGCAACAGAAATCGACGAAGTCAGCAGTGAGTTTTCGTAGCCACAAGATGTCACAACAAGATATGTAACTCACCCGACAGGTCCTGAGCCGAGAATCAAATGTTAGAAATGTATAACAGCGAAGGATTCAGGTTGCACAGGTCACGCAACTCCCTACACGCATAAAAAAGATAGCGGAGAGAATCGACTTACCAGCATCCAGTCCTGGATCTTGGAGGCAAGCGGACTCGAACAGGCATTTTCAGTTTCTGCTCATCCGCGGTTCCTGATTTAGCTCCAGACTCGGACGATCTCACCACGGCATCATCTTTCGGTGCAATAAGTGGAAGATGTGCGGTGTGCTTTGGTGAAGGCATGATTCGTTTGTCTGGAGTCACAACAGCGCAAAATTCATGGAGTCGACTTTCATACACTCGCACCGTCGTTCCTCTTGAATGTTCTGTTTGAGTCTCTCATGCCCCGTTCTACCCTTGTGGCCCACTTTGTTTCCCCTGGATATGCAGTCTTGTATCCAGGGCGAGTGAAAGTTCAAGACGCAGCAGGAACAGTAACTAGAGACACAAGCAGGATTTGGCTAAAGATATATATCTATATCGATACAAGAGATTCATGAAGAAACGGTGGCGGCCTCAAAATGGTTATGGAATGTGCAGCCACTAAGATGAAACAGGATCAAAGTTCGTTTCTTCAAAATCACTCAGGCCGTCAACCGAGCCGTCATCGACTGAGATTGAGAGTACGTGGGATTTTCTCGATCCGCTTGGTTTCGGCTAGCGACTGATCGCAACCATGAACGTCAGGCATTGATAGAGCGAGAAGGACATATATGTACGCGAAGTACACGAGGAGATTCGGGAGGGATAGTTTTGGATTTGAGCCAAGGGTTGGAGATAAAAACTCCGAGGGAAATAAGTGTAGGCGTGCAGGAAAGCTTTGACAGAAATGATAAACCAGAATATTCTTGTGTTCACAGCATAAAAAGGAATAAGAAGTGAAAAGAGAACGGATGGATATGCGCAAGAGGCTTCTGTGGCGGGTCCACAAAAAGTTGTGAGAGATATATACTCTGTTAGTGGAGAGGACCAGGGGCTGCTCGGATGCATAATGAAATGGTTATATTTAAATATAATATATTTCCTGTACATTGTTCATTTTGTGAGGCTAAAACCCGCGGGATATAGGCGAAGCCAATACCAAAAGGAGGAATTGCAGAGAGCGTAAGAAGCGGAGAGTGAAAGGAAAAATTTTTCATGTCAGGGACGCACTATCAATAAGGTCAGATCAATATGTTTTAGGTGAAAAAAAAATTGTCTGCAAGTCTGGATGCTTGCAGGTTTTTTTTTTCTTTCTTTTTTTGAACCCCCATGCAGTGCCGGGCCTGGAGATCTGTCTGTGAGTTCAAGGAATCAAAACGCAAAACCATCATGAATAAGCCCATTATTTTCCAGGATGCCGTCGGTTTGACAGCGAACCCACGCAGGAATACCATTGCTGATCGTCAAACAGGGTGTTCTACTGCGGCGCTAGAAGGATTTCGAAGAATGAGGTGGGGTCAAAAACCGGGGATAAAATGAACACATCAGAAAAGAGACATGGGCAATGGCTCCACCACCCTCTGGTCGTTCAAATTTTGAGAGGCTTTGCGTCATCGTCGACTGAGCGATCTGATCCCAACACCGAAATCCCACAGCAACGAGTTTGCTATAGGCTGGGATTCCGGGGCTAAGGCATGCAGTCAGCATCGGGGCGCCCGACCAAAGCATCCCGTTGGACTGCTGGGATGCCGGCGAGGTTCTGGAAGAAAATCGAAGGGTGTCACGGACTCTGCGCAGCGAGAGCAAGTCGAAGGCCCCGGCGACATTGGCAACGCTGGGATCCAATGGGCGATGTTGGTTTGTCGGCTGAATTGGCCAAATCCCACATTGCCTGCCTGCGTGGAAAGGCTTCTGGATTCCTTCTAGAATGATTTCCGCAACCTTGGTGGAGGCGTTTTCTTTCCCGCTTCTGCATTGTTGGATGCATGCACAGGGCAACATCGGGCTTGCATGAATAGGATGGTAATAGCTGTCATGTCCCCCGCGCTTCATACTACAGTTTATCTTGGCTGCGAAGTGCTCAGTGTTGTCTGAGGCCGACGGGAAATTTCTCGATTCTTCTCATGTACCCGGTAACGCGAGTTTTTGGGGCTCTTGAGATGTATCCGAGCCATCTGAGAGAAATTATTGAGTCACGGAAATGCGGTTTGTGGCTGTTGCTCAACTTCACGCCGTGAATAGAAATGTCTGATGCATTTCATGCTATATTATCTGTTTGTTCTATTGGTAACCCGCTGGCTTCACACGATGCTGCAAAAGATGACAAAGTGGGTAAAATAGTTGTTAGAATAATCATCCTAAGATAATTTTATAATAGTAACAAAATAATGGTAGAGTAAAAATCATGATTTTATATAGTGAAATGGCGGAGGGGTGGACTCGCATTCGTCCTATTCTTAGGGAGTAATTAGCATCCAACATTATATTGTTCTCTTAATTGCACACACGCTGGTTCTGATCCCTGTGGCTAATTAACAGGCAATAATAAGTCTCAACCACTTAGGTTGCATGCCGGGAATTGGGTGCCATGCACGCGCTACGATGCAACTTCAATGTCGCATGTTCACTTCCAACTGGCTGAAAAGATCAGCCCTATTAAAGGTTTGTTTGCTTCGTGCAGATCTTCGCTTCCAGCTGGCACCCCACAACGACTTTAACCGGTGCAACGGCTCAAGAATAGATCAGATGCTGCTCTGACAAGTCAGGAACAAGTGGAGGATGACCGATAATAAAAAGATAAAATAAAAAACTAAACGAAACATGCGACAAAGCCGAAAGTCCGACATCAGACGCATTTTCATGTGACAATGACAGGGACCTCCTAGGGTAGAGCTCATTGCAGGGAGTTCTTCCAGGGTTTCAATCCTTCCACCATATCAGAGCTACCAATTTTGAGACATCCCTGCAATTCAAATGGATTTTGGCAATTCAAATGGCCTGATGGCAAGCTTTAGGAGATCTTCTCCAATACTTGTCGCAGGGCCACTTGCACCTGCCTGGATCGCTCCGTTGCTAGCCACTCTTCAACTTGTTGGCGCTGTTCGTCAGCAATTTTAATTTCGATTCCGTTGCAGATTTGTATGTATGCAAGTGCGGCTTGAGCACGACTGTGCCTCGTGTTTTCCACGGACAGATTGAGGTCCCGAAACAAAAGTTGGTCGGCGAGAGAGAGTAATGCAGTCCGGAACTCAGTAGTTGATTTTCCATTGGGCAGTTTAGAATCGGGTTTTGAAACTTCTGCACCAAGTTTTTCGAATGAAGATTTTAGTCCGCTGTACATGATGCTATATATGGGCTTACCACCGTATGTGATAGCCTTGTCGATGACAGGGGTTATTTGAGATATATGATCGGCCAGTACTTCCTAGCCATTAGTAACGAGAGCCAGTCTTTTTGGGTCCCTAATATTTTGCATACCTGGTAAGGAAATAGTGGAATTAACGCAGTTGAAAATGCACTCCACACCAGCTGCAAGAGTTTGTTCTTCAACCCTGCAAATCTACAGTTAGTTTTAACAATAAAACTCATGAGTCTTCGATCATTTGACCCACTTTGAAGCCTTGCCACCTGCTTCTGCATCTACCTCCATTTTGTCTTGCGTGTCATCAACTAGATCCCCAACCACTTGAGAAACAATTTTCAGAGTATCAGGCATGAGATCTAAATCATCTCGATCCTTGGCAAATTCACCAAGAGACCTGAGCGCATGAGGTCTATATGCAGAATTGTTTCGCTTAGCTTCTCTCACTACAATAACCTGCATCGTGACAGTCAGAATAGGTTTGCAAACCCTGCCGATCAGGCGACGGACTGAACCAACCTTTGTTTGCTCGCGGATTTCGCTATTTTGCGCCCAGAGAGCTTTTGACTTGAGAGAAAATTTGACAAATCCTTCCAGTACCATTTCTTTTCCTTCCCAAGTCTTCCCTGAAACCGCCTTCTCGATAATTGGCCAAATGCGCTCTGCTGTGCCAAGATCAATGTTGTCATCTAACGACGAAGCCACCTTTGCGGTTGCAAGGGCGGCAGTATGTTTAATAGCCCACCGTGGTGAGTCTAGATGGATGGACACAATATCAAGTATTTCCTGAAGATACAATGATACAGCGCGAGAACCGCTGACATTATTATTCCATGTTTTTGAAAACAGCTCCGCAACCTGCGCTTCTGTATCATGCATTGCCACGAAGATGAAAGGAAGAAAAGCTGCCGAAAATGCCGCAACACGGTCGTTTGCAAGCTTAGAAATGGAGCTTAAGATCTCCCCTGAGATGACACGGTGAGATGTGTCTTCGCAACCAAAATAGAGCGATTTTGCAAACTCGATTGTTTTCAGCATCTGGTCATCTGATGCCAATCGCATGAGATAACCTGTCGATGAGCTGTATGCAGCGCTGATTGTATCGTTCCTGTCAAGCACATATTTGCGCATGAGTTGAACGAAACGATCAGCATGGGGGCGGAAGAGAAAAGTTTTGGAACTGAGAATAACCAGGACACGACTGACGCCAACTTTTGAAGGAAGGCCGATTGCTGATCGCAGAACGTCTTCCAGTTTATTTGCAACTTCCTTCATGGCTACATCATCTAGAGACTCGAGAAGATAGAGTTCTATAGCCTCCATCATTGGAGATGTTCGAATTGCCGACAATCTCATTTTATCGATGTCTTGCCCGGTCAAGCCGTATTTGTCGGCGTTGAGGTGGATGTAATTGACAGCTTGTGGCTCAAGCGAGCTCAAAGAAGAAAGAAATCTCTCTAATATCTGAGGCACAAACTGGCGGAGTGTTTTCCCGGGGCTTTTCTTAATGATCTTCGTTAGAGTTGCAATCGCATAACCTTGCACTTCTTCCGCAGCAGACTCCATGCCCTCATGACTAAGCAGAAAGGGAATGATATGGTTTAACATGACCTTGGCTCTTTTCGAATCGGAATCTCCTGACTCTAAGGTTCGGATAACAATGTTTGTGAGGACTTGACATAGTCTAAGCGCTGCTTGGCGGACAGAGGCCTTAATATCATCTAGAACCTTGAACGCTTTGGTAAGGATATCGCTAAGATATTTGTCGTACTTCTCAATAGGTCGCCCTTGGATAAGGTCAGCTATTGCCGCACAGCTCGCCTGGCGCACTCTCCACTCTTTGCCCGTCATAATACTTTTGAGCAGGTCATCCATGATCGCGTCAAAATTTGACTCGATTACGGCGTTCGAATCTTTAACCAGGGCGTTCCAAATGTCATTCATTGAGCGCTGCACATTCGAGTTGGGGTCGAATCTGTACCGATACAATTTGGGATAAAGCTTAGGATTTTGCGCGAGGTATCCATTGACGCTTGAGTCGGACAGCACGTTGCTTAATCCGAATCTGCCGAAGGCTGCACGGCTTGACCAAATAGCGTTATTTGAAGCAAGTGACATGAAGCGATAAACGAGACTCGGGTCTCCTACTTCAGATGCTAGTCCAACAATATCCTTGTAAGTGGTGACAGATCCCTCGCCTGTCGGTAGGGCGCCGGGCTCAAAAAGTTCTGTATCTGTGGAAATTTTCCCGCCCCCGAGATTGGAGCCTTCCATTGTAAAAGATCGAACAAGATCGCGCACCAAATCATCTTTGAGTTCCTGGTTGCCCATCTCGTATACCAAACTCAAACCCCTAGAACCTGTCTCCTGCACAACTTCATCTCTGTCTGATAGGAGCCATACAAAAGTAGCTTGGCATTTCCTCAGGCGGTTTTGCACCTCCGAAAAGCTTCCACAATATTGGATTAAGCAGAGAAGCCAGATGACAGACGCCTTTCTTAGCGATGGCTTCGAGGCCTTGCAATCGACAATGATTTTGTCAAGCATTTCCGAAAGAATATGCGAGGGTATATCTGATTTCGGCCAGGCAGCGTCTACGTCAAACATTGTAATTAACGACTTCGACAACCATCCAACTGCCACTGTACACAACCCCTCTCCTACAGAAAATTGGACCTCTGGCCTCCTAATTTCATGGAGATCATACAGAGATTTGAGTAAATATCTGAACGGGGAGCCTTCGCTGACGTCCTTGGGAAGTACCAGAGAGAGACGTCCTAAAGCCAATATCGCCGTTTCTTTTTCTTTTTTCGCTTCTTCCAATAGCTTTCTTATCACTTTATTCACAGGCTCATCTATATTCTCCCCAGGGAACGATGTGGGGCGTAAAATAGATGCGAGACTCAGTTGCCCAATCGACACCTGAGCAGCCTCCTTGAGTGCGAGATCTCTAGAATTGTCCAACATATCAAACGTGATATCTACAAGCCTTTGGATCCGGTTTTCGGATATAGAATCTAGTCGACCCCGAAAGGAAAGGCGAGAGGATAGATGAGTCAACGCCATCAACGCACCTCGGCACTGATTAATGCCTTGACCGACCGCAGTTTTCCAACCCTCAATCAAAACGACAAAAGATTCAAACAATTGTTGCAACTGGGGAGGAGGATAATCCACGTGAGATGCTAAGATGCCTAATGCCTGTGCTGCTATGTCCTGGTTCGCAAGGTTATTTGACAGTATAGGATCTTTAAGGGATGACGCGTGAATGGCGAGAGGAGCCAGAAGGTTGTCAGATGCGAGCGCGCAAATTTCAACAAAATGAATACCACAGCGGCCTAACCCTTGACCATGCTTCCAGAGGAGACCGGCTAGAGAGGCCTTTAAGAACTCAAAAGTTGGCGCACGATCGCATTGTTCAAGATAAGCCTTAAGGCTCGCCCTTGAATCTTCCTTTGTTGAGATAGCCACATCAAGGCGGTGTTCCCAATCCGGTTCGACACTCAGGGGAGAGCCAGCATATTGATGGGATTCGCAAAGGAGAATATTGCGAATAAAAGCAATAGCTGGTGCAAACGAGGTTATGTAGGTGTCGGAAAATCGCATGGGAATAGAAACTTTTCCATCATTCATCTCAATATCATCGCTACTCGGATCGTTGAATAGAGAGAGTACTAATTCTGTAAACCGAGGAAACCGATATCTAGGGGGAACATCAGGTCCCATGACGGTCGAAGCTACCCAACTTCCCTCCTTAAGGGGATTAAGCATCCTATACCAGTATGGGTCCAGACCTCTCTGGCCTTCTTCTATGATTTCAGATCTCCCGCTAGACTCCCCACCAATAGCCATAAGATCTATCCAGCGAGCCTGCACATCCCAGTACGGCAAGCACCGATTTGCAAATCGCACAGCAGCAAATCTCGTACTTCGGACAATACGGAACCCTGTATCGCGGTCTTCCGTGTCGGGTTCGGCGTTCATATGGTGGATTAAAAGGGGACGGATTTCATTTTGAAGATATTCATCTGCATGATTTGCGATAGAGTTGAGGATACTCCCCAGAGCTTGTTCGATACTCACGAATATCTGACCACTTGAAGTGTCAGAGCTCAGGGACGTGAATAGCCACCGGAGCAGATCAAGATCAAACACCCGGTCCTCATCATCCTGGGAAGTTCGGTCAATTTTCGGGGCTAGCACGCCAATGGTTTCATACGCAAGACTTCGAAGACTAAGTTCAGCAGAGCTCAGGCTCTGTGCGCTAGCGCGAGGATCGGGCCATCCCTGGTAGGAAACAAATTCTCTTAAGCCTTGAATGGCACGAGGTGCGACGACATTTAAATCCGCGGAAGAACCCATACGTGCTATCCACGTCACAAAAGAAAATATCTGGTTTCGGAGCTTCGACGCTTCAAGACCCTTGGCAGCCGTTTCATCATTCGACAAGAGGCCTTCATCAAGCAGCTGATTAATCCGCTCAGGTTCGGCGGTGGCTTTTACTGATTTACTTAGAAATCCGAGAATTTTAGCTTGTAGCGCTGGTCGTGCTGGTGGGGCCCCTTCCGGCCCTTTAGTTCCAAGGTAAAGTGTAAATAGTTCATCCACAACTTCCGCGTTTTCCAAATCTGGACGGAAACGTTTGAGTATATCTTCCCCAACATCTGAAAGACGACTATTTGGGTCAGCAGAGGCAATGACAGCACCGATAAAGCGCTCAGAATCGGTAAAAGCCCCGCTGGCCAAAAACTTTGCGAGAGAAACCTTTGTTTCGATCAAGTTAAGACCACCAGCTGCCGACGGATTCCAAGTCTCATCAGGCGGTGAATCTCTGTTCACAAATCTGTACTCCGAAGGAGTAAGGCCGGGACATTTCGTCGCATCCTTTTTACCGGGTAAGAAAAGAAGGATTTTAGAAAACCATTTTGCCAAGAATGCAGCGTCTTCATTCGAGATACCTAGTTTTGTTCTCAGTGCTAGATCTTCTTCGCTACCTCTTCGTGGCAGCTTCAATAAAGGTAGCAATCTCAGCAGGATATTGAACACGATGGAGCCTTGTGATGAAGCTGAAACGGAACCTCCTACCCTGGCAATGCCCTGGATCAGATCTGGTATGAGATCGATACGCTCATTGGCGGGAATCCGATCAAGACCCTGCTTGATATAAATAAGATCGAAATGTCTCACCAGCGGTGCATTAACATCTTTAAACTGTTTCAGAAGAGCTGCGATAGGCAGAGTGATAGATGCTGGCCGGATTCGTGTGTTAATATGCTGACAGATAGAAATGACTTTGTTGCGCACTGCAAGACTTTCTGAAGCTAGTTTTAGGAGGAGGGGACCAAGATATGTCTGGAGAAGAGACTGTAACTTGGAATCGCTGTCTGCGAGGGCAATTCTAAGCTCGAGTTTTGATAGAAGACTTAGTTCTCTGGCCTCGTCTGGTTTAGACATGACGGATTTCGCAGTAGCACAGATGAATGGACAAGTAGTAGAGAGTGGAGTGGTATGGTTATATCATGAATGGGTATTGTGGAACGAGAGAAAATGGAACTCCCTCCTGCAGGATTATCCCGCGATATGAATGCAAGACTTGGTTGTGCAGCACATCCAGGTGTACGTAGACATATAGATACCTGGCGTGTTGGTTCTTTGATAGCTTCGTGATTGGTCATCAAGAACGCTGTCCAGAACTAGTCTCATTTTGAGTTAGTGCGGCTTGTTGCTTCGATCACATGATATGGCGTCTAGCAACTTTTCCACTGCGCCCGAACTACATTGCTTTATATATGTCGCATCTGGGATGAATTTGGTACCTTCACGCAATAGATTGATCGGAGCTGGTGGGGTGGGGCGCTGCTATCTCTTCGTGCAACTCATTTAGGACGGTCCACATCTTGACTGCATTTGGTTGGCATCTAATCCAGGCTTGGACAAGTTATTTTCACAGCCGAAGACGATGAGGATTTACAGAATTTCCATTTTCCGGAATCAGGAAGGATTGAGATGACTCATGACACCTGCAGGCGGTGAGGAAGTTGACTGCCAGGTTCTGAGATATCATTGGGATGACCGAATGGCTGACTATCGTTCCTAAAACGGCCATTCTCAATATCCCAATGTCAACAACGATAATGATTAAAGGTTCTCATTAGGGCACTGGCGATCCCAGATCCTCAAAAGTGGGAAACAACTCGCGAAACTCTGGAACACTCCTGATTTGCTGGCTATGAGGTGGCTGTCCCATGATATCTCTTGAAATTTTCCGCGCTGCTTCAGGATTTCTGATGCCATGCCAAATGAATGGGAGGCGTTGCTGGGGATTGGGACGTCTGCAAGACAGTACAGGAAGGTTTGCCGTCCTCCAGCAAGTTTGGGCGAAACGCAGGTCTCAGTCAACTATGAAGAGTGTTTTGTGTTTATTCCACATCAAGTAATTACATGAGGTAGTGGGAGTTATAGTAGCTAGTTTTGAAAGGCCAATGAGCCCGACATTTGTGTCAGAATGATAAACAGGACCGTGGTAGAATCAGCTGGTAGATGGACAAAACTAGTGAGGCACGTAGGAGTTCGGCGCCCCTATTTGCGGGCAATCTCTCATCATGGAGGAAATTGTACAGGAAGGGTGGAACTCTTTCAGCCCCCCTCTCTCTTTGCGAAAACTTTCGACAATAGGCTTACCAAAGATACATGGCGCAAGCGGGGTGTTGATATGGAAGTGTAAAGGGAAGCCAAAGCGGCGCTGGACAATTGTTCTAGATCAGCGGTGATAGGATTATCTTATCATGAATAAAGCATTAAGGGACATAGGCTTGCAGATGATTTCGTATGCAGGACCATGCAATGCACATGTACACATCATGCCTCTTTAATCCTTTAGCGGCGTTGTAATTTATAATTATCAAAACCAATCTGTATACCATTAGATGGGTTGCGTATTTCTGTTATCACTATAAGGCTGGAGTCGCACCCCTAAATTATGAAACTTTATACCCACCGCCAACGTGGTCGCACATGGCTGGGATACCTGTTCGGCCCAACTACATCATTATCGCCATTCCCAGCGGCTTCAATCCTCCCTTCCGCCGCTTCAGCCCTCAAAAGCCGATCAATATTATTCGGCACATTCCCTGAGTCCACCCTCGATTTCGCCTTCCTGTTACTCTTGGCAAACAAGCACTGCCACAGATCGTCGTCAGGGACCAGTTCTCCCTCAGCCGCAGTCCCCGCCATTAAATTGCCCAGCTTCGCATCTTGTATTTCTAGAGAGTTTGCAGCCTCAATGACTGTCTCTATAGGAACATGTCCATTTTCATCTTCATCATCTCCTCCTCCTCTTTCACCAATTCCCAAATTGTGGTTCTGGCTTTTCACACTATGCTGCCTGCGTTTTTGAGCAATGTGAGCCAGCCGCCGCGATACGGAAATATCGTAGATAGATTCCTCGACGGAATCAGATACGAGATACATCCAAACTGTCGTTTCCTGTTTCTGCCCAATACGATGAACACGGGCGATGGCCTGAAGCTCAATTGCAGTATTGATTAATGGCTCGCAAAGAAAAACGTGCGTGGCGTTGATGAGGTTTAGCCCCGAGGAATGAGCTTTCGCATGCAGGAGGAAGCACTCGACCTGTAGCAGAAAGGGATCGAAACATAAGTCAATATATTAGACATAACACAAAGGAAGCTACCTCTTACAGAAGGATCAGTTTTAAACCGTTCAACCCCGTCAGAACTGTCAATGCTACTATATCCAATTTTGAAGTGCGAAAACGCACGCCCAAGAATCCCCAGGAAAGGCTTATACTGCGAGAAGACAATTGATTTTGCACCCGGGTCGTGTTGTCGCAACCAAATCAAATGGCGACCCAGAGTATCAATTTTTGTTCCGAAGGAGCCTTCAATTTCAATATTTCTAATTTCCTTCAACATGCCTGAACTAATGTCGGAATATATCAAGTTCTCCAGAAAATGGCCAGAATCCCGGACGTGTGCTGCAATGGACTTTTCTTCCTGCGCGACAATCTCCGTGGGTTTGTAAGCAATTTGATGGAAATCGCTGCCTTTCAGGCGTATCTTGCACATCGGACAAGTTTTGTGTTGGCGCCACCAGGATCGCAGGCAGTCGCTGCAATATTTGTGACCACATACGGTCAAGACACCTAGTTATTTAAAACAAAATTAGGCAATGCTCGTACAGCAAGTTGGATAACCTGGATGGGGTGGCGATTTTTACCGATTTCAAAGGTCGATTGGCATATGACACATATTCTTCCTGACTCCTCAGCCCCAGAATCATCTCGAAGATGGATAAGATACCTATGTTTAGACTTCAATACTGATATCTTCTCCTGCATTTTATCCTCCAAGTCAAGCATGCTGCCAAAGAGAGCGGCATTAAGCGGCTTGCCTCTACTATCTTCATCGTAAGGCGCTACAGTATCCGAAATCTGCTGCAGTTGCCTATAATACTCCAAACGCCGATTCATGACATTGTGGAAAAGCTGCACCTCCTTCTCCAAATCTAGCGAAGTCTTTGCTTGCTCCGATGACATCTGGCTCGAGTCTTGCAGAATACGATTGACTATACCAAGTTCAGCACGGGCTCGAGTGCTGCCCCGGGCTTCCTGCGATTCGAGAGATACCACAAGGCTACGCAATTCTGTAAGAATACCGCGAAGCGATCCGAGCTCATGTGGAGGCTTCAGTCTTTCGCGCGTCTTCATGATGGAGATGTAAACCTTAGGTGACGGGCCCTCTCCGATTTCTGCAAGATCTAACCTATTCCTAACATCATGCTCGATCAGGTGGTTTTTCTGACCCGTGATAGCGTCATGATAGTCGGCGAATAGAACGCGTAACGCTTCCATGTAGACATATACCTCATCCTGATGACGAGTGGAAGATTCGTACTCGTCGCCCTCCAACTTGGCATTATCGTCTTCTTCATCTACTAGCGGCTCCAAGAGTAACTTGAGAGCATGTGCGCGCCACTCAATATACTGAGGGGTAAGTTTATTCGTTGCCTCACAAAAGTCTTCCAGCTATTGCTAGAAGTCTTCGACTTTCGATGCCACTGTGATCCG